AATTTTTTAGTATTGTCAATACTATTACTGTATAACTAATATATCAGGTTAAGAGGCTACATTACAAATAAAGTATTGGTCTTTAAATACTATTTTGTCTTTGAATTGTTTAGTCTAAAGTCAAGGATCTAGAACTCGTACTTAGTTTTAATGATACAGTCTGGTTATTATGCTGTTTGGTAAGAGCACTAACTAGCTACCATCACATGTACCTTAGCTTGACTTAAATATATTAAACGTATATGTAGCCTGGTCATATAAGAGAGAACAGGACACAGCATAAATTTTAAGGGTCTTTATTCCCCGACTGCACTCTGGTTGAGAACAGCATTAACACTCTAGTAATAAGTGTAATAATTAGGATACAAGTTGTAAATGGTCCTTTCTGTCTCACAACAATGTCAACTGATAAACAATTATCAGTAAACAGCATAGATAGCCTAAACAATAAACAACGTTAATAGCCTCTGCAGCTGAGGATAACAGTCACAAAAGTGCATCAGTATTACCACTTCAGAACAGTACATGAAATTAACTAACAATTAATACAGTACAGCATTTATCAACATATATCATTCGCAAAACACTTTAACACTCACTTTTAATACAAATGCTCTCTGAACCGACCTGCAGCACCGAACACTGCGTTGCTTCTCCCCTCTGCATGAGACATGCCATACAAAATTCACACACTCCACTTAAAAGGCATTTTAAACATATAATTCCTTAATGTGGTTTTTGTTATGCATATATCTGGTGACTTACGCCGTCCCACTCTCGTGTTGGACCCCGCACGGTGGAGACACACACACACACACAGTCTTACAAAACTGCGTCTCTCTGTAAAACAACGCTAAAACTACCTGTTCCCGCGAAAACTACCATTGAGTCGTCTGTCTATGACGTCATTACTGCGCGCCTTTCTGCTGCGCATCTCTGGGTGTAACCAAGCATCTTGAATCTCTTAAAGGAACAGCGTATGATTTATAACAGCGAGTAACTGTCTCCGTTAATAGCTTTTAACCTGGTTACATATAGTTAAGTGATATCAAAATATAAATAACTAATGTCATACAAACATATTAATATTTGCTTGATTCCAGTGTTGAATTTAGCACAATTGCATACAAATGTTAAGGGATTTTAAGATTCTGAATTATTATTGTTAAAAACTCAATAACTTAGATTATTATTTATAGTTTTGCTGAATAGTTTCATGTCCGCTTACCTTAGAAACGTAAAATGCCAAGGCAGTGTGTGGCATTTTACGTTTCTAAGGTAAGCGGACATGAAACTATTCAGCAAAACTATAAATAATAATCTAAGTTATTGAGTTTTTAACAATAATNTTTAACATGTTGGGTTACTTAATGTTACTTCATATTAAGGCTAATAAAAATGACAAGGCTGTAATGCTAACTAACGTGCTAGCTACTAGCTAGGTAGCTAACTTGATCCAGGAACTCCTGGTCCTTTCATCAGACGGGGAAACGAAAGAACGAGCAATACCCATTTCTGGTATGATAACAACCTGGTACTAAGCACACAGGCATCTTGTTAAAGTTATCTTATCTTAGCCAACATCATATAGATAGATTCTATCTACTGTATATGGCGCTGATCTTAGCTATCTCTTAGTGGAGGAAAACAATTGTGACATCACTTACGCGACTCTGGGATTTGTAGTCTTTCTAGTTGCATATTTTTCATAGTCTTATATTTCAACAGTTTTCAACTGTGACTTTTTTGACATGGAAATTATTTTTTAAGATTGACAAACATCATATGTGTAATTCATGGCACAATTCAAACGGGATCGAAAGATACGTTTTCTCTCTCCATTGACTTCAATACATAATTTTTCCGAAATAAGGTTCCATGGACCGGAAGTAGATGGGCGTGACTTCGCCACTCTATTGTGCCTGGTCGTGGTCCCTTTTAAGAATCAGGATGACATCATCAGATGTGTCAGGTGATCATTAGAGATGAAATAGGCAGAGCAATGTGCTATTGTTTGTAAATAAATCTAGCTACATCTGCATATGTCTGCCATTGATCGCATCGTAGTGGGTTGTGCATTGGTGTTCGGATCAGGGGCTCAAACCCCACTTCAGTCAGCATNATAACTTTAACAAGATGCCTGTGTGCTTAGTACCAGGTTGTTATCATACCAGCAATGGGTCTTGCTCGTTCTTTCGCTTCCCGTCTGATGAAAGGACCAGGAGTGGCTGGATCAAGTTAGCTACCTAGCTAGTAGCAAGCACGTAAAGTTAGCATTACAGCCTTATTAGCCTTGTCATTTTTATTAGCCTTAACATGAAGTAACATTAAGGCGAGACACGGCAGGCAAAAACATCGTTTTTCAAGCACTGGTCAATTTTGAGATTTTGTGCTATTTTGATT